ATTGTCTCTCTCTCCGCGTCTCTTCCGTTCTCTTCTCCTCTCTCTCTCTCTCACACACACACACACACTCTCTCTCTCTCTCTCTCTCTCTCTCTCTCTCTCTCTCTCTCTCTCTCTTTCTCTCACACACAAGTACATACACCCTTCAACCTCCATTTCTCCGTAAAATTAAGTTATGTCAAACCCGACAAAATCGCACGAGTGTTGGGTGAGAAAACCCCTTAAGAAGACGTCCACGAACAATAAATATGGCGGCATGCAATATTTCCAGCACCACAGCCTTTTTAAAAAAGTAGTAGTACATTGCAAAATCATCTAGCGTCGTAATGCGCCTGGTTTTCTTTTCTTTTTTCTGTTTTCTTTTCCCTTGTTCACCGCACCTTCTGTCACTCTGACGGGCACCTTGGGCAGTGAGCCCGCCATATGTCTCCCCCGTGTATTTCCCACTAGCTGCACATTTGTTATCTTGGGGCGTGTTTCTCTCAGCTCTTCGTCGCTGTCCAGCGATATCACTGCCGCTCTTTGGTTCCCTCGCACAGGGGAAAAAAGACAATGTTTTTAAAAAGAATTAGTCAATCTTTTTTTTTTTACGCCTACATCCACACAGTTTAGATCCTTTAGGAAGTGGACTTTGCCCTGTCTACAGGAGTCAACCAGAGGGCTTCTCGTGGCCTACAGGTTAGGGTGTTCGCCTCTCCTTCAATAGGTCCCTGGTTCGAATCCGGATAGCGACGAAATTTTTTTTCTCCAAAATGGTCTCCTTTCACCTCCTTTCCTGCTCTCTAGCAATGTTCTGCCGTCTGCTTTCGTCTCCACTTTCTGTCCCCCTCCCTCACCTCCTTTGCCCCTTCCTCTGGGCTCCTGACTCTTTCTGCAGCCTTTCTACCGCTACTCCTCGGCTCCTTCTTACTGCTACTCCTCGGCTCCTTCTTACTGCTGTCTTTCTGCCACACCCCTGATCTTCTGGTAGGAAAGATCTACACCTAGCCTTCTCGGATATGGGCCAAAAATCTCGGAGGTCCCGTGTGCAAGTTGCACGTGTTAGGGATCCCAACGTGGTCCAAAATCGATAAGAGTAGAATTCGGCCGCCCCTCGTGCAAAGTTCAAAATTTCCTACCAAACTGAAAAAGTTAAATTTGTCCCCCCGCGCGCTCGCATGACCTTACGCAGTTGCGAGAGCCGTAAAACACTTACCGAAACTACAAAAAAAAGCAGTCAACCCGGAGCTGAGATGGATACAACATCCCAACAGACAGACTGGGTTAGTCCTAGAGCTACTCGATAAACATTCTGCCCCCTCAGGAAGCGAACTCGGGCCTCCTGCGTGCGACAGCGCAGTGCCTCACCACAACCACCACGGACGTCGATACTGCAAGCTTTGTTCTGTCAACTTTACATTTGTAC